TCTCTCTCTGCCCTCTAATGTATGGTGTTGCCGTGTCTCTGTGTGCAGTTCTTCCCAAACGGACACGCCTTCGCCACGGGCTCTGACGACGCCACCTGCAGGCTGTTCGACCTGCGCGCGGACCAGGAGCTCATGATGTACTCCCACGACAACATCATCTGCGGCATCACCTCCGTGGCCTTCTCCAAGAGCGGGCGCCTCCTGCTGGCCGGATACGACGACTTCAACTGCAACGTGTGGGACAGCCTGAAGGGGGAGCGAGCAGGTCAGCGGCTGCCGGTTGGGGTCCGGCTCTTTTACCCCGGGGGGCTTTGTGGAGATTAGCATGTTAGCATAATGGCTAGTTCCCATTGTAGAGGGAAAGCTCACTACTGGGGGTAAAAAAAAAAAGGGCAAAAAAGTTCCCAGAGCATGTTGGATATAAATATTTATACCACCTTCCATGTGCGTTTCAGAGGGTGAGGCTTGATTTTTACTTGCAGCCCAGTGTCCATCTCTTTCAGCTTGTTCTTTTTATAAACCATTTTATGGTTTATCTCCCAAAAACTATTTGTAAACAGTTCCACATGCTAGTGGAGTGACAAACACATCTGATGGTCACGTACAGTACCAGCCGACAGTTTGGGCATGCCACGCTGCCTACAAAGGAGACGGATAGTGTCTCATCACATGACCTGGCCTCCTGACATACAGGGGTTTTGGTTCTGGAGGAGTTTGACCAGAGAGTGAAGGAAAAGCGGCCAATGAGAGCTCAGCACATGTGGGACCTCCTTCAGGACGACTGGGAAAGCATCTCAGGAGGCACCTCATGGAACTGGTGTAGAGGGGACAGTAGGGTCAGTCAGTCCCTGGAGCGACTGGGGTTAAGGGCCTTGCTACAGGGCCCACAGCGCTGCCCCCCAAAATGTTTTATTTTTTTAATACATTTTTGGTCAGTGCATAATTTCATGTTTTATATTTCTGGTGTCTTTTAAATTATTCTAAAATGTGGAGAATAGTACAAATAACCTTTCCATGGGTAGGTGTGTGCAAACTAAACTGGTGCTGTACGTATATCAGTGCATGTAGCCAAGTGATATTAAGTGTCATAATTAATGTAGCATACGGTATATTTATATTTAAACTGGCAGCCCATATGTATAAGCCTGCTTAAGATGCTTGGTCGATGGCTGTAGCACCCAGCTATTAGTGTTTCACTGAACAATAAACACGTGAATGTGCTGGATTAGGAAAATCTAAATATAGACTCACTGGACCCGCCTAGATATTCTGAATCTGTTTCGTCACCAGGATGCCATCTTAGGGTGGGCATTTGGATATGTTGGCTGGGCACCAGTGATGGAAATGAGGGCAGGGGGTAGGTGCTGAGCCCAGGGTCTGTCTCTGTAGGGTGGATACCCTTAGCCACACCCCCACTCTAGGTTTGCTGAATTTCTGAACAATCGATATCAAGTCCTGTTTTCATGATTTTTTGTGGGAGGGGAATAGCGATTGTAAGCATTACAGGATTAGGGTTAAATAATTGGGGAAAACAAATATAATTTGGTGGTACTACAGATGTAACATGCTCATGTTACGGAGAGAATTGTTTAATTTTATAGGTGTGCTTGACGACCTTCTGCTCTTCTCCTAGGTGTCCTGGCAGGCCACGATAACCGGGTCAGCTGTTTAGGCGTGACACACGATGGCATGGCCGTCGCCACCGGATCTTGGGACAGTTTCCTCCGGATCTGGAACTAACAGAGAGGAGGATTTTGGCCTGAGGGTGGAGTGTGGCACCTCCAGCCAAGAGGGAGATCTTACAGCTGGGACAGGATCGCGTCCTTTCTGCCATCGGAGTGAAGTCATCCCCCCCCCCCCTTTCCATCTCTCCACTTGACTACAGAGAGCTTTCGATGACTAGTTAAGTTAAACTATGAGATCATATGTGAATCCTGGTGACCCTGACCAGGCTTTGCTTGTTATCATGGTCTTTGAGAAGCTAGGAGCATTATTTATTAATAGTACGTTATATGATTTTCATAAACGTGTCTGTTTATGAACATCATGTACTGTATTATACATGCATTTCCACTGGGTATTTGTCAGTTCGCTGTTCAGTAGGTTCTGCTCTCCACAATGTTCCCAAACTTGGATTTAGGACACAGTCCCGACGTGCCAATCACGCCATTCCTACGTTTTGTGTATTCATGAATCTATGAGCGTGCATGTGAATCCTTATCGGGGTATACTGGTGTGCGTCTTTTGCTAATATTCTGTTATTACATACAACCCAACGACTTTTTTTGATGGACTAATCGGCCTACTGGTATACTTTATTACAACACGTTTGAACTGTTTTACAGAACAATTCCATAAATGTTTTTTTTTTTTTTCTTTTGTTTTTAAGTGGTTACAAAGAAACAAGGGTAGGTGGTGTTCTGATGAAGTTTGCAAACGGTTAACTAACAAAATAAAGCTGGATTCAGACCCTGAGCTCCAGCATGATGGAGTCACTGATTTAGCAGAATCTTCATCTTCACCTTGGAAGCCTTCTAAGGTGACGTGGAGACACTTGGGGAGGGGGACAGGACTGTGATGCTCCGTACCATGTGACTTCCGCCTTGAGGGAAGCCTGTTTCCGGGGGCGGTAGGCAGGACACTGTCCAGGGTGAAGTCCATAAATGCAGGAGAGATGCTGGTTCCCATTCTTAGAGGCCTAATCAGTCTGACCCCATGCTCTGGTCCCAGTAATGTGTAGGGAAGGAAAACCTACTTCAGCAAATTGGCTTACGTTAACTGGTTTAATTTAACATGGTCTCCACATACAAAAGTTGATGGAAGAGCAGTTTAGTCATCATGGTCTTACAGCGTTCAGGAAAAAGTCAAATTTTTTTACAGGGACTGTAGCTCCTCTGACTGTCTGTTTTGGGCCAGTCTTTGTTCCTTCATTCTCACGGACGTGGAACTTGTCGCCGGGACAGGATGTTTCAGAGGAACGGGGCTTGGAGCCTGTGTGGTGCGTGTTGCTCTGGCTGGGCCTCACCTGCGGAGGCTGCTTATGTGTCCAGATGGGATCCCATGAGGAAACGGGGCCTTTCGGACCCAGACGGCAGCGGCCGCTCGCAGGGACCGGCGGCCTGTGTTCACTGGCTGGACTGTCTTTGCCTTGACTTTAACAGACCAGTCGCGTTATACACCCGCATGTTTTTTTATGCATAGGATTTCATTGTGATGTATTCATATCTGAACGTGTAAGCGGCTCCCAGCTCAGGCTGTGTCTGAGAGCTGTCCTCTCTCTCCATCCTCACATGGCCATACGCTTGTGTAGTGCATTTGTGTGACTGTCAGCCCCGATGGAAGACGGTTGGGTCACGCTGCTCCTGACTGCTATTTTGCCCACAAACGTGCCCGCTTGGCTGAGTGCCTTGGAAGTGGACTGTCGGCCTTAAATGGCGTGAAGAGTCAGCCAACCTGCACTCTGATTTAACGGCGTTGGTCATCAACCATGTGCCAACAAAACAATGTGTTAAAATGTCTTTTCTTATACAGAATGGGTTGTGAAGCAGGAATTTAAACTCTGTCCCTTAAATGATTGTATTACAGTGAAGAAGTCGATCACCATCTCCAGTTATTGCCATTCATGCTGTTCTTTTCCGTGGATTTAACCTCTGTTCACTGATGACGTGATACAGTGTCACAGAGACTCTGAACACCACTGTGGTATGAGATACTATGCGGAGTGTAAGCACCTGTTTTACTTTTTGAGACACTTTTTGCACCATACTTTACCACACAAACTGAACTGGACTGGAGATCGAATTAAGGACTTTCTCTGCATGTACAGGTGCCAATACAAGTCAGTCATTGTGCAGGTGAGCTAAGCACCGATTGGTTGGGCCAGTGCAGCTGTCACTGCTGGTTGGTCAATAGTATTTGCAGCTTAGACTGATTTAAACATACCTTCACATGGCACAATGCTGACATCCTCCACTAGATGTTCATGGTCAATCAGCGAATGATGCTACTACGTAGTAAGGTATTACACTGGTAAAGTTGACACGCTGTGCCTGTGTATGTCATGTTACCAAAGATGCAGATAAATGGATTTTTTTTAATTTTATTTTAGTGAAATTGTTTTCTTCTGGAAGATGGGAATAGTCCTGAATGGAGATCCTCTAGTTCGTTATAATGGACAGGCCACAGAAGTATTGTTTTGGATACAAAGTGATGGTATTTAATGTGAAATCGTCAGTGTAAGGATGTCTGCAGTATGCAGATCATTCGCAAAGAGCTGGGATGAAATATAATGATCCTGTTCCATGTGTTGTTTTTTTTTTGTCACATTGCCTGAAACTGCTTCCTGAAGAAGCTTTGGAAGCCTCACACACTACTGTTTAAACATTTAACTTGAAACTGAACATGGAGACATTTTTAACGATCAATAGGACAGCGGGGAGCGAGTCTCTCTTCCCGTCCCGGACTCTGGGCATCCCAGCTCTGCTTCCTGTGATTAGTGCTATTCATTGTTGCCATGATATCAACACTGATTTAGTTATATAACGCACTGCCATTCGGCTCCATTGTGTATCCAGCAGTGTCTATTTATTTTGTTGAGCCAGGCAGGACCAGGGACCATGTGGGCCGTGAGTTTCTAACAGTGCTATTGTGTGAAATTAATCACTTACTATGAAATAACTTTTATAGTCTTTTTCACGCCAGATTTTTTTTTTGTATTTGTACAGTGGTTCGATATACTGATGTTGCCATTACTTGACATTGTAACCAATAAAATCTTTTAACCAAGACTGCCAAGTTGTCATTGTGATGAATTGTAACAGTCCCTTTCACACAGAGGTCATTTAAAAACAGATGTTTATCATCTCAGGAAACAAACAAATCTGCAGCAGAAGAAACTTGAAACAACTTTATTGCTTTTTTCCGCGAATCATAAATAATGAGGTAACTACAGTGTACATACTTCAAAAATATAGAAACGATTGAACTGTACAAATCGTAATACCCCCCCCACCCAGATTTTGTAGAAATCGCCACAGGATAACAAATACAAATGTGTTAATGCACCCCTCCATTTCACCAGAAATCACTGCCGAGATGTGTGTTTCACCACATAACCAGGACACTGTTCAAGTCAATTGCAAAACTTAAGAGGTCCAGCAGGAGGCTGAGCCTCCAGAACGGGTCCTAATGGCAGTACCGTCCACAGGCCCGCCTCACAGCTCCTCCGTGCCGATGGGTCTATAGCTCAATACAGCTGAAGATACTGGGTATGGTGTCATGTTGCAGCAGTACAGTCATTCTTTAATACTTCTGCATGATTCACAGGTGATTCTCTGTTACCCATTGGGCTGCCATACTTGAAATGCTTACTAAGAGTGGGAAAGGCAAACCAACGCACACAGGAGAAGGGGGTTTGAGTGGAGAGGGAGGGGTCCGTGGCGTGGGGGTCGCCCAGGCCTTAGTGCTGGGGCTGCAGATATTCCTCCGTGAAGCTCTCAAGCTGTTTCTCCAGCTTTGAAGCCTTGTGTCTGAAACACGAACAGCCTTCAGCGCTCTGTGTCTAACGATGTTTTATGTATCGCAACACATCCATGTAAAGCGCTTTGGTACAACTCTGTTAAAATAATGTGAATAAATTGAATTGAACTGAATTGTCTGGCTTCCTATCCTCCTACATTAACCCCACTGCATGGTTCTGAAGTTCTGGCGTGCATTTTAAAGTGGGCCTTTATCCAGCAGTGCTAGATGGTTTACGGAGTTAAACACTGAACAGACTGACCCACGATGACAAACTGGCCTATATGTTTAAATCGAAGTTCTTTCAATTTTTCAAAAATTACTCAACTAGGATCACGGCCACAATGCCAAGAGACATCAGGGTGTAAATCAAGGTATAATCCAAACAGAACACACACTGGCTACTTAATGGTTATATCTATGTTGTGACATTTTAATGTTAAAGAAATAGATTAAAACCTGTATTAAAATTAGGATAAACGAATCAATCAAGTGAGGATTAAATTTAAAGAAACGCAGACAACAAAATGGCTGTTTCTCAATATGCGTATTTGACTGTACTTGTGTCCCCGTTTGACATCGTCTTCCATTGCCAGAGACCAGCTCCAATACTAAGAACAGAAGTACAGAGGGATGGTAAAGATCCCCGGATGTTTTTCTTGCCCCGTCCAAAATATCAAGGAAATGCCGGTTGCATCCTCACCAAACGAGAACAATCTCATGAATCATTGCTCCCCACGTTCATTCTTGGGAGGCAAGTTAGTAAGACCGGCCTTGCCAAGACCACGAGTACGATCTTTGCGTTCTTGGTATTGAGAAATACCCCTTGTAGCAGTTTTGTTGGTTAATTTTAGGAAAACTCATCCTGTGGAACAGGGCTGGGCTATATGGCAAATTATTTTATCACAACGATTTTTTCCATATCGGTTGATATTGATAACTCGAGCTGTATGGTGAAAATTATTTAAAGGTTACATTTTTGCTTAAAATTCCCTAAAAATTACCCTTAAACAGATTCATACCATGAAAAAAGGTGATAAAACTGCAAATTGAAATCTATGTTGCGTGTTACTCCAACTCAATCAACCTGGCTACGTGTTTGCTGGGCATCGGTTGTCCATTTATCGACAGTATTGGCGTTTCTCATTTTCTTATTTAAATTTTATATGATGGCAAGTCAATATATCACTTTATCTCCCAGCCCTTCCAGGGGAAATATATTTTCTAGTTGACATGTAACTAGAGAAGGCAATGAAAGCAGTTTCCGTGTGATTAAATGTGAAAATCTGCAATTCACAAGGATTTAAAAAGTAAATTCTTTTCTTCAAAGGCATGTTCCAGAGGTCAGCTCTACCTGAGGGTCTTGGAGTGGCTCTGCACGGTCTCCAGCTGCTCGATCTTCCTGTTCAGTCTGCTGATCTCCCCTTCTAGCTCCTTCTGGGTCAGGTCCACCTGCTGACACAGCTGCGCGAAGGTGGTGGCCATCTCCCTGCACAGCGACGAAAAGCAAACGGTCACCTTACACCAAGAAGAAGCACATAAGGACACCACCCGTGCTGAAACGCGGCATGCTGATGTCCACTAGGTGGCAGCACTCACTGCTGGACCTGGTGGCTACAGTTAGCGCTGGTGAAGCTGACGATCATCTGCAGCTTCTCTGTGGCGTACTCCACAAACTGCCGCTTGAGTGCCCTCTCTTTGGCTTTGGTGGTCCACGTCAGCTTCTCGTAGACGTAGAGCAGCCCGTAAAGACTCAAGGACAGGGCAATCAGCCTCCACCCAACCGTGCGCCAAACCTGCCCCAAAACAACGGAGAGAGAGTATAAAACTCCTTCAAGTCCACTTCAAACCAACAAAATCCAATCTTCTGCATTCTGTGTAACTTTGATATCATTAATATTCCTTTTATGACACAAACGGAACTAATCCTCAAATGGGCGTTCCGACCCTGGCCTGTTTCTGTACCCACCACTCCTCCAATGATGATCACGCTCATAGAAGCGCGGGAGGACAGGGAAGCCAGACCGGTAGTTACAGACAACATCAGATCCTCCTGGGACATAGCTCTGTCCTGCGTCTGGGGACCCAGTGGGGCGGATGGGGTAGCAGCCAGCGATCGAGGAATCTACAGATGTTACGAGACCAAAAAGGTAAGTCTTCTTGACGTTGTCTACAAGACTCATTGCATTCATAATAGGGAACAAAGGCACACCTGGAAGTTCTGGTCCACTAACATCAGAGCACGTTTCGCGTTGGCCGGTCCGAGAAAGCGCTGCACAAGGGCCGTCCAGCCCAGGGAGAACTGAAACTCAATGTTCTCCTGGAAGTCCGAGCAGAGGGTGGCGCAGTTGAGGTCGTAGCTGAGGTCAAACTTTCGGCAAGGGATGAGCCGGTGCAGCTCAGCCTGGACAGCAGAGGGCAGCAGAGGCTGCAAACACTCTGAACGCAACATAACAGAAGGGTCAGCAGGACATTCCTCTTATTACATTTTGAGGATAATTCTAAAGAATCTGAAAAACAAGAACTCGTACTTTAGTGGACATCTCGCAGACGTACCTATCATTTCTTTCTGGGAGGACTGAAGAGAAGCGTTGACCGCACTGGAGCAGCGGTAGGAGAGGTTCTTTCCCATGCCTTCCTCCACATGTTTCAGCAGGTCCTTGTGTTACAGAGCATCATATGGCACCATAATCAATAATGCAGCTAGATCAGACATCTTCTGGGCACTGAGCGTAAGCTCCGACCCAAGAGACAAGGCACTACACAGAAACATTTACGTATCTTTCCATACCTCAAAAGGTCAAAATACTAATCAAAGTACTGCACAATTTTACACACACAAGACCGATTAGTGTCAGATGTCAAGCACTGAGCGACCAAGTCATTTGGGGTTTTTCCTGCTGATGACAAACACGGCCACCAGGGGGCTTCAAGGCAAAAGAGCAGCACAACAGTCACGTGGCGGCAGGCTGACTCACGGTTTTATAGAGTTTTAACACATGTGGAGAGGAGTGGAAATCGGAATTGAACTCGTTGATGAGGACCGACAAACGGCAGATTTCTTCCGCCATGGCGTTGGAAACCTGGAGGAGAGACGGCCGACAGTTTGACCTCCGGAGCTGAAGGGATGCTGCACATACATAATGGAGACCAAGACAGATAGAACAGGTAGCTGAGACCGACTGAGCCTGAGATCTGCGCCCGCTTTACCTTGGATTCCACCTGCTCTGTCACTGCCTTAATCTTGTTCTTAATGTCCTCAGTTAGCAGGTTAAGCTGATGGCGGACAAACTCCAGTCTGTCAATGTGATATTCCCTGTCCTCTAGGGAACGAACTCTTGAACATACAATAAACACAGCACAACAATCAACACCTGAGCGTCAAACACTTCATCACAGCTTTGCTTCCTGTACGTCAGGAAAATCACCGCAATCCACAGAGATATAAAGACGGAAAGATATGAAAGCAGCAGCCGCAGATCATGCTACAGACTTCATTGTGGCACAAGGAAAGTGAATTCGGCTGAAACCGCTGGTGGATCCACCCCAGTCATAAACACTCTGGAATGACTGCCAGAGAATCTCTGTAGGACGGCCGCACGCGGAGAGAGACCTACCTCTTCTCGGCAGACACGATGTTGATGGAGTCCATGATGTCCTTGACGGTCTCAGTGATCTGCTTTGCCGTGATCGTGTGCTGCTCAAACTTTGTTTTCACTGCTGACTGCGAGATACACTCCTGCGAGGCCATAACGCATTACTGTGACGGAGTCTGCCGGGCCAGAACCGGGCCGGAGCCGGGCCAGCTGCCGACCTGCCGCAGAGCAAGACTCACACGGTTTCTTTGTTAAAAAAGATGCAGAAACCAATACAGAGGTTAAATGATGACCGTGACATAAATTAAGAACGCAAAGGAAAAACTGCGGCAGATCAGTAGCTGGATCCCAAAGGCCCCTGAACTTCACAGTAATGTGTGCATTTGGTTACAAAAATTATGAGAAATTAAAAATACACAAAACTGATAAACTATGCAGTCTCACCTGTTATATTATCAATATTAATACTCTGTTATTAATGATGGGACTCAAATACTAATAAAATACATAACCGTTGCTTATAGGCATTGAAGTTTCCATGGCAGCCAGCTATGGTTAAATTGATCCAATTTATTATCAATTATCTCCAGTTGAACCATATAAATTGCTGTATTTCTCCTCTCCATAAAGTCCATTATGAAATGAACATTTCCTCTTTTAATGCACATTAATGA